TCTTGAATCAGTCTTGTAAGCTCAAAAATAAACAAATTCACTTTTTTTTAGAACACATTTGATATATTCTTGCCTTTGCTTTATCTGGATTTCTAAAATTACTGTTGATTAAGAATGTCATAGCCTGTATATTGATTAATAAGCAAACATAATCCTTATGTTATCTGCAGCTGTTTTTATGGTCTTATGGTGTTTTGAAATTTTGGCTGTTTCATCTTGTTTATTTTGTTTTAATTGTTAGTTGTTCAAAATCATGTATATGAGTTTGATAACAAAATAAACCTATTGAATAAATAAAAATGTATGCTGAAAAACTAAGAAAGGTTGCCTGTACTGATGGTTTTACATTCCATAAAAAGTCTGGGGTGGAGATCTTTTCTACCCACTCAGCCATCTCCAATGTAATAGGCTCCAGGCTAAGCAGCAGAGCCAAGTTTTCAGGCTCTTCTGGAAGGCCAGATGTGTGGGAGGCAGACCTCACTTCCAACAAGAGAATATTCCAGAGGCTCTTCTCCTGGACCCCACTAACTGAAATTCTTTGGCAGATGGGATCTGAAATAGGCCCTTTCTGCTGGAACCAGTGGAGTGGACTAGCCTTATTGGAGTGATATGGTTCCTCAGATATCCTGGCTCCATGCATAAAGAGCTTCAAAGGTGATGACCAATACCTTGAATTGAACCCAGAAGCAAATAAATTTATTAACAAGCAATAGAGGTTTCTCTTTTCTTCTTCTTCTAAGTAGTGTGTGAAATCACAGTAGTGTGTGACTCCACTCACATACCCAGGGATGGGCTGAGCTTCTAATGACTTCCACTGAGTTACAGAGAATAAAATTAGCAGCTTGCAATTCAGAACATAGGAAAATTTAACAAATAATCGCCTTAATCTGACGAAATATACATATTTTGACTGTTATCTACAAGTACATTTCACTTTGCAGAGAGGAGGTAGTGATTTATGTAAATCAAAAAAGCAAGCTCAGCAGCAGCCCCTCACAGTTTTGCATTTTTCTCAAGGGGTTCCTCTTACAAACTTACCAATGATCTTCTGCATTCAAACATGGAAATTAGCAAACCTCTACAATGTCCTTCCTTCAAGCATTCTTTGACGCTCTTCCCTTCCTGATATAAAAGATATCCAGATAAAAGATTCAATATATTCATTTAGTTGTTAGAAAAACATTATATTATACATAATCTTTCACAACACTTTTTCCAATATAAGCAAAAGCGAAGAAGACCAAAAAGTAAAACTTGCTAAAAAAATCAAAAAAATCATTGCATAAAGAACATAACTGTCTTCATATACCCTTCCTCAAGATGATTGTAGAAGGCCCAGAGAAGAAGTTTCACAAGAATAGATCTAAAATTGTGAAGGACTGTCCCAATAGTTTCTAGGTTTGATATTAATAAAAGCTGGTTGGATTTATATTTCAAAAACCATTCTCAAGGCTAGGCTTTTTCATATGGGCACTCTGTATTGGATTCATACTGAATCTAACAGTATATAATTTGCTGTATGATAAAATATTAAAATTCTTTGCTCCCATTCATCAATAGGCAACACCTTGTCATAATGTGCTGTCAAGCCCTTATTTTACTACATGCCAGATCTATTTAATGCTCTTTTAAATTTTCTTTTAACAAGAAAACTTATGTAAACATTGGCATGATGCAAAGTAATGTCCCACTTTTAGAGTCATATTTATTTCCAGGAATACCTTTGACTTATTGAGAACATGAAGATACTTGGGGCTGGGGATTGTTCTCTAGTAAATCAATGTTTTGTGATTGGCCAATCACTGAAGCAGCTATTTGTTTTTTTTTATTTGTATTCATAACATATTGTACCATTCTAAAAGTGACCTTGGTCCAGGAAGACTGTTTACCTATGCTTATCTCATTTTTTTTAATTGAGATGACAGAAAAGACATTATTTAGTAGACAGTCTTCTTTCCATGTTCTCTCATGGTTTTATAAGGTACATTCTTATCAAACAAAATTACTACATACTTTTTTACTGTAAACCCCCATAAAGTGTATGCACCTTTTAAAAACAAAAGCTCTCTAGCTGAAATAACTTGTACACATATCAGAAATGCTGTTCAAAATTTACTGAGTTTAATATTTCTCTTCTTTATATATGCAGCCTAACAGTCTTCTCAGAAGGGATTGCACATTAAGTAGGAAGGAGACCTCTTCAGGAAGAGCAGTATAAGGAAATAAGTACATCATATTATTAGCTGTAAGATGGAAAGGAAAAGCAATGTATGTATGTCTAACACACATGAAAAGAGCTGTTTCTATTAATGTTAAAACTCTTTCACACAAAATGTTTCTCTTCTCCTGGCTTCTCCTCCTCTTCTTCATATGTTACATAAATATCTTAAAATATTTATTTAAAACATTTATATAACCACCCCTTCTAACCAACTCTGGATGGCTCCCAATCACAAGTTAAAGCAACATATAAAACCTTATTGAAACTATAAAACTAAACACATGAAACAATTTAAAATAAACTGCAACAAATAATTAGGAATTAATACTTGAAAACTACTTTTTTCCTTATAAGATATAATCAAATGTAATTTTTGCAAAGTTCAAGTTTTTTTTTAAGTAGAACGTGCACTGCGCTAGGGTATAAGTGTTGTCATGGAAAGGGGCTGATTCAAATCCAAATTTAGACTAGAGTAGACTAGAATTCTTTATTGGCCAAGTATGATTGTTTCTCATTGTTTTCCCATTGTTGCGTATAATGCATAACAATGATGGCAGCAAATCTGGATTACTAGGAGCCAAACTCCTTCGTCTCTGTCATGAAAGCACTTGCCCTCTTGATCAAAAATGTAGAAGCCAATACTTTCATTTGGTGGGATAGACGGCCCTCTAAGGAAGCCTTTCACAGTCAAGTCACCCATCCAGGCTGGCTCACTTCTTTTGCAAAAGAATGAAATGTAAATGCCTATAGGAGATTCTCAGTCATCCAGATGGTGGTTGTCCCAAGGGTGCTTTTTAAAAATGTTTTATTGATTTTATTTATATTCAATCCAATGTTCATCAAACAGTGTTTGCTCTGGATACAGTAACGTTTCATCAATCATAATATTCATTTTTGTTATAACCATTCACCACAATAGTCGCAGTACAATAACATCGTGATATAATAACAATGATAACATCCTCTGTTTTAGCCATTCTCCTCTTTAAGATTTCCTCTTTTATTCTCTTCCCTTTCTAATTTCAGTCTTTCTTATCTGATAGTCATAAGATCAAGTTTGTCCCATTTCAAAAAAGAACAGAAAGTATAAGGGGGGGGGGGACACGAAGTAAAATAAGAAGGCGAGGGGTGGGGAGAGAGGGAGGCCGCTCAAAATAACACCAGGAAAAGGCTGCTTTTTCAGAAGGCAGCTGGACTCTCAAGAGGCAGGGCTAACGACCAGATGACTTGCAAGGAGTATAAATCTGTCCATTTTCCACCATTCGGTCAGAACGGAAGAAGCCGCTTAGATGCGAAGCGAAACGTCTTCATAGAAAGCAACGAACGTCCAGTTGCCTTTTGGAAAAAACACCTTCGGGATGCCCAGAGCGCCTTTCTCTACCCCGCCGCCCCATTTCCTCGGTTGCCCAAGCTACGCCTCGAGCTCCCTTTTCCCGCAGTCTCCCAGCTACCTTGATGACGCAGGGACACTCCAGCAGGCAGGACTTCAGGTCCTCACGGACCCCGGAGCACGCCCGCTTGTCCTCCTCTTTCCCTTCGTAGTATTTCGGCATGGCGGCGAGGCGTTTCTGGCTTTCGGCGTCCGTCACCTGCGGAGTCACTCGCAACTCCGCAACTTCCTCAGCCGCAAGAACTACGCTTCCCGAGAGCCACCACGTTTGCTCACCTTTCACCTGTTCCTGGAGTTACGAAAAATACAGAAAATGAGCCCTGTTTACGTGGGGAAGCTTCGTTTTCAATTGGAGGCTATGCTTACGTGCCTCTCCCGCTCCCGCGGGCGAGAAAACGATCGGTAGACTTCAGTGGGAGAAGTCAGTATTTAGATGCAGGCGTTGTTTGATAGGACTTTATTTATAGGTTTGGACGGGATCTTATTATAAGGTGGTTCGATTTTTGTTTGATACGCATCAACGTATTAGCAGGCTGCATGCGAAACTTTTAAGCTAAAATGTAGTGTGGTAAATCAGAAATCGTTTGTTACTTGTAGTGAGCACAGTCAATTGTGGTCTGTTGTGTAATCTATGGTTGGCTTAGTCTGTCGCATAACTATGTCTTACCCTTTTTGGTATGAAAAATAGCTCTGTGATTGAAAATCTGGTATCACCCTTACGTTGCATAAGTCTGTGCGGTAAACTACAAATGACTTACCTTTGAACGGCAAAAAAAAAAGACACATAAATAGATGACAGCAAAGCGATGGGGAGTTGGGTAACTCTGCCTCCGCAATCTAATACCGGTTTGGTTTTTGATGTTCAGAATTCTTTCCCACAGTATTGCGTTATATGCTTTCATTATAAAAAATGTCTGATTAATTATTTCTGCCCGTGGCCCAATATTGTTTACTTCAAATGGGAATAATGAGATCGAACTAAATGCACGTTTTAAATAAAAAAATACAATGGTGAGTCGGTTTAACATTGTTAGTCGGTTTAACATTGGAGAATCAGCATAAAAAAACATAGCAGTATCTCTTTATAGCAGGGATCCCCAAACTTGGCAACTTTAAGACTTGTGGACTTCAACTCCTAGCCAGCATAGCTGGCTGGAGAATTCTGGGAGTTGAAGTCCACAAGTCTTAAAGTTGGTAAGTCTAACGACCTCTGCTTTATTGTATTGAGACAGATGAAAAAGAAACTTGCAACGTAACTCACGATAACATTTTCCTGTTCAATGACAGGCCCTTCTACCCTTTTTTAAAGTCCGTGTACGTCATTATCCGGCGCTGAAAGACTACCTACTCCGGGATTCCGTGGCCGTGTCAGCCTGTGCCTCTTGCGTACGCATGCGCTTTGGCAGGGGGCTGGAAATTACGGAAGAGTCAGCAACTTAGAGTCTGAGTGGTGGTGGGGTGGGCGGCAGTCGAGCAGAATTTGCGGGGTGGGGGTGTCTTCCTCTTAGTTCCCCCCCTCCCCGGCGCAGCGACCGGACGAGAAGAGGCGGGGTGGGCAGTCACCGCTGGCGAAAGGCGAAAGTGGTTTGGAACGTTGCGGGGGTTCTAGAACGGTGGGACCCGAACGGAGCCACGCCCCCTTTTCCCTCCCTTCTCCGCCTGCAAGTTTTTAGTCCGCCTTTTCTACCGCCTGGCTCGTTCCTGCCTTGAAAGGTACCTGCGGCCTTTCCCCCTCCTTCTCCCTTCCCGCTGCTCTCCCAGCCGGCCTCTGGCTAACTAGAAACCCATGACTTTCAAATAATTCCCATCTGTCTAAATCAGGGGTGAAATTCAGCAGGTTCTGACAGGCTCTGGAGAACTGGTAGCGGAAATTTTAAGTAGTTCAGAGAACCGGCAAATACCACCTCTGGCTGGTCCCAGAATGGGGAGGGAATGGGGATTTTGCAATATCCTTCTCCCCCAGGAGTGGGGAGGGAAATGGAGATTTTGCAGTATCCTTCCCCTGCCACGCCCGCCAAGCCACGCCCACAGAACTGATAGTAAAAAAAATGTGATTTTCACCACTGGTCTAAACTGAAGTTTCCGAATCAAAACAGACAAATACCCTCCTATCACATCATCCTCTCCTCCAGGGATATTCCCAATTTTGTCCAGGAGTGTTTTGTTTCCTACTTCCTCTGTCCCCTTCAATTTGTCCAGCACCATCGCAGACAAAATGTTCCTTTAAGAACTCTTTGTTTTGTTTTGTTTTTTTGTCGTTGCAGATATACAGTTGCCTGTTTAGCTTTTCTGACTCTCATGGCTTTCCTTTCAAGGATTAATATTCTCTTTATTTCTTCAACAGACTGGCCCCTCTTTATCTGTTCTTGAAGCCAAAGCCAAAGCCGCTTATATCTTTTCTTTAGGAATATATATTTTTGGGCTTCTATTTTCAGAATGCCTCTATCTCTTCCTATAGGGCAGTGATGGTGAACCTTTTTGGCACCGAGTACCCAAACCGGAACATGCGTGCACATGGGTGTCCATCTGCGCACACCAGAGCACCAGAAACCTGAAGACCAGCTGGCTGTCACATGCATGCCTGTTTTTTGGCCATTTTTCGGGCCCCTTTCAGGCTGTTTTCCAGGTCAATTTTAGGCTAGTTTTGGCCCAGAAAACGGCCCAGAAACAACCTGTGTTTTTTGGCTGTTTCATCACCCGCAAAGACCAGCTGGCCAGTATGCGTATATATGCCAGAAACCAGGAAAGCAGCTGGCAATGGTGCACATGCCCACAGAGAGGGCTCTGCGTGCCACCTCTGCCACGCCTGCCATAGGTTTGCATCACGGCTATAGGGTATTGGCTTCTCTTTTTATAAGTTAAGTGTAACATTTCTGATTTATGCATTGGTTTTACGCTCGGACTGTATCCTGGAGAACAAATATTAGTGGCTTACCTGCTCTTTAACTTTTTTATTTTAATCTGTATGTTTTGTAGTCTGTTCCACAGGCTGTTGCTGGCATTGTTCTGGTTGTTGACTTAAGTTGTTAATTTAGATTAGCTAAATGTTTCATCTATCCTATGCCCATATAATTTCCTTGACAAGAATGCTAACATATTTGGCTGGTACTTTCTTCGAGGCTTGATTTTGGGATTTCTTCTTCTAGGAACTTCTTTTATTGCCTAATTTCTTTCTTGTTTACTTTTACCTTCCTTCTTCCCCTTCAAACTTCAGCAGCAAAGACACAGCCTGCTCTACTTTACTGCACACTTAATCTTTCCTTAGAAAAACAACCTTGCAAACATGTACAGATAGTCCTCAACTTACAACAGTTTGTTTAGTGACCATTCATAGTTAAAACAGCACTGAAAAAAAGGACCTATAACTGTTTTTCACATGATTATTGTAGCATCCCCACCGTCACATGATCAAAATGTAGATGCTTGGCAACTGACTCAAATTTATGACAGTTGCAGTGTCCCAGGGTCAACTTTTGTGACTTCTGCAAGAAAAGTTAGTGGAGAAACAAGACAAACTTAATAGCCATAGTACTAACAACCACAGTGATTGGCTTAACAAATGTGGCAAGAAAAGTAGTAAAATGGAGAAATCTCAACAAATGTCTCGCTATGCGACATAAATTTTTGGCCTCAATTGTGTGTTGTAAGTTGAGGACTACCTATATTTTCTGCAACTGGCTTTTCATTCCCTTTACAGTACTGATTTACTTTCATTTCTGTTCTTCCGCAGTTATGCCTGCTGAATGGTTTTCTTGTCCCTAAATCTTCTCTAGCCATTTGAGATTTACTACATTGGATCAAAAGGTACAAAAGCTCAGTTGTTGCCTGTTTTTGTCAAAGATAATTTAAGAACTTTCTCTCTTTGCTGTCATTTTCTACACTCTCCTAGTATACTTCATACATGCAGCACAGTCTCCCCTACTACATGGGAAAGGAAAATAATTCAAGATATATTGTTTTCCATTTGTGCAAATCTATGATATTATGAATTAATAAAGCTTTGGATCATTTAGAGGTGTTTCACAAAGTCAGTATGTATTTTGCCCTAATTTAGCCTGTGCGTGAAGATAATGGTCCGAACTATACCAACCACATAACTCTCTTGTACAAGAGGCAGAGGTGGGTTCTTCCCTGTTCAGCTCGGATAGGGCGAACCGGTAGTAGTAGTAGTGGTGGGAGGCTCCGCCCACTCACCTGGATACTTCTGTGCATGCGCGGGAGCGCATCCAAACCAATAATAAAAAAATTGGCAACCCACCACTGACAAGAGGGGAAGAGGAATTTGCAGAAGCCTGAGGCTCATGCATGTAGCTGTGGCTTGTTATGGTACTTGAATGAATCTTTGGCTAGTGGGGAATGACGATGAGAGAAAAATCACTGCCAGTGATTTATTGTTGCTTTCTCTTGTCAATATTTTGGAATGGCAAATTCTACCACATTTGGCGTATATATCTTGAAATTCTCCCAGATTTCTTGGAAGCAGTTTTTTTTTTTTTTAGCAAGCATTATCCCTACGAAAAATCTTACAAGGACAAGATAAAACTCTTTCATACCCATTTATGTATTGAGTCCTTTGTACTGAATCACATCATTGACAGAGCCAGAGAATCATATAAAACAATGACCTTAGCTAAAGTATTAATATTAACCTCTCTGCTTATTCAAGAATAGTGATGCCAAATAGATGAAGTGGAACATTTTCCCATTAGTTTGTGACATTTTCATTTGGAATCTTTTGAGAAATAATTTTTGCAAGTATGTTAACACTTTGAGTATATTTAACAGATAGTGTGAGGATTGGCTTTCTACTACTACTATGTTTAATAACAGGATCTAATACATGCATATAAAATAGAGCACAGATTTACTGCCTAGAAGTGAGAGGAGTGATTTATAATTTCAACATGCAAACTGGTGCCTGCTTTGAAGTTTTAGCTCAGATATACTTCTTTCTAAAAATTGTGGCTATTTTCCCCCTCTTTAGCAAGATGTTACCTACTACATCAATTAATCCTCGAGATCAGGGCAATGGATCTTTAAATACTCGATCATCAGCAAGACACACGGCTGGGGCAAAGCGCTATAAATACTTGAGGAGACTCCTTCATTTTCGTCATATGGACTTTGAGTTTGCTGTCTGGCAGATGTTGTATCTGTTCACTTCACCACAGAAGGTGTACAGAAATTTTCAGTATAGAAAACAAACAAAAGACCAGTGGGCTAGAGATGACCCTGCTTTCCTTGTGTTGCTGAGTATCTGGCTGTGTGGTAAGTAGCTGAGAACTACTTGAAATTGGTGTTTCTAGCTTGGTGCCCTGAAATATTGGTAGTAATAAGTCCTCAGTAACAATAACAAATTTGGTCTAGTATAATGCTTAAGGCATCAGACTAGAAGCCAGGAGATTGTGAGTTTTAGGCATGAAGGCTGGTTGGCTGATTTTGGGCCAGTCACTCTCTTGCCTGCCCAACTTGCCTCACAGAGTTCTTGTGGGGAAAATAGGAGGAAAGAGTATTGTGTATGCTTGCAGCCTTGAGTTATTTATAAAAACTGTAAAGGTGTGATATAAATACAATATTGATGTTTTACATAGTGCTCAACCAGAGTAAACTATTACAGAATTGAGAGCAAGAAGTACCATGCCTGTACATTCCCAAAGACACTGAACACCTGCTGGTAGAGTCAGACTTATAGTATTTATGAAGGAACTCAGAATTTTATTTGAACTCTAGGAACACCAATGTTCAGTGATTCTCTGTTGCTAAGCAGGCTAATGCGGAGCTATTTACCTCTAGTCTTAAAAAAAACACCATTATCTATAACTTATTTTGCCAACTTTGAAACATCTAAATAGAAAATACTACCAAGGCACTTTACGTATATATGTCTTAGTTTTCAGACTAGCAGTTTTGACAACAAGGGGATTTGAAGAATTTACTTGGAAAAATGAAACTATATAAGTAACTAACTTTATTGGAGATAGAGGCATATTACTGAATGAGTCTTCTCTAAGCAGTATAAATTTGGAGAGCACAGGACTATTCAAAGTTAGAATATCTTGTATACCGTGAATTAATCATATATGTTACTGCTGTTCATCTTCCTCCTCCAGTATCCACTATAGGATTTGGCTTTGTGTTAGGCTTGGGATTTCTTGAAATGATAAAGCTGCTGCTGTGGGTCGTGTTTATAGACTGTGTAGGAGTTGGCCTTCTGATTGCAACTTTAATGTGGTAGGTATCTTTAAAATAATTTTTAAATGCAGATTTCTGAATTTAAAAATTGCAAGTTCCAAAGAGAATTTAAAATTATTAGTGTACTCCAATTTGGTTAAAAAGAAAGACTGGAACATTTTGAACAACGGAGCATAAATGATGCTCACATATTGGATTTACTTTCTGGAGAGCGTCATACAAATTAAAATTACTTCTGAGTTCACTTGTTACCATATTATTGTTACTTGACATTTATGTATGCAGTAGAGTTTATGGAAACCACCTGGAATAGAAAATGATGTTTAGGATTCTCCAGCACATTCTGTATTAGAAAAAGTGGAAAATCTCCCCCCCCCCCCCGTCTCTTATCTTGATTTGAGGAGGGTGGAAAAATAAAGTTCCTTACTGAAGTATATATTTGTATTTTTAATATTCTGCTAAGGGATCAAAACTGTTCTTTTGTTTTTATAATATTCCTTAAAAATAATTTGTAAAATTTATTTTAGATTTCTAGATCAAAAATACATTTGGATTTGAAAGTACTACAAAACATGAAGAGTCAATGTTATCCAGAAGGAAAGAGTGTTATTTCATGCTATATTGAAATAATAAAACATTGCACATTTTAACACATAGGTTTTGAATTTCCCCTCCAAAGGTTTATCTCCAATAAATTTTTGCTAAAGCATCCGAACAGGGACTATGATGTAGAATGGGGATATGCCTTTGATGTTCATTTGAATGCTTTCTACCCGCTTCTTGTTATCCTGCATTTTATCCAGTTGTTTTTCATTCATTGTAAGTATTTTTTTTTAATTGAAGCATTTTTATTGCCTTGCTTTCTTCTATGTCATATACTGAGGCTGAGTTATTTCTTGCAGATGTAATTTTATCAGCATCGTCTATTGGCTATTTTGTTGGAAATACTTTCTGGCTGGTTGCAATTGGTTATTACATCTATGTGACATTTCTGGGATACAGTGGTAAGTAATGGTAACTAATTTCAGCAAGAAATTAGCATGACAGATGAGAAGGAAGAGTTTTATTGGCACTAAACAAACGTGCCTAAATGTTATATCATTATCTGTCAAACAGCCACTTTTGGGGTCAGTTGCTAAGTGCCCGACATGCAGTTATGTAACGGCCAGAGAGGAAGTGATCTTCAGAAGTGGTTTATAAGTACCCTCTTGGGGGGAGAGGAGGTGTTGGCAATTATAACTTTGAATGGTCATTAAGCAACCAGTCATAAGTCAAGGACTATCTGGAATCGCAGAGAAGCTCAGTTCAAAATCTTTACTTCTTCTCCTTACATAAAACCTCCATAGTTGTCTTGCCATACCCTCCCTTGGGGTATAGTAAATTACTTACGTGAGTCCCTTGAGTGCAAACTCTGCCATTTCAGTGGTTTGTTTTTGTTTCAGAAAGCTTCCAATTTCCAAGAATTAGCAATTGTTCTAGGGTTGTGTTTTTTAGTGAAAGTGTATTAGCTTTCTCGCACACAAGAGGGAGTCCTTCCTGCTCTTTCTTATCCTTGAGACAGAGATGCAGTCTTGGTTTCTACTGAAGCTCTGCTCCCTTTCAGCACTGCCATTCCTGAAGAACACGGTGATCCTTCTGTATCCATTTGCGCTTCTCATCTTGCTGTACGTGGTCTCTTTAGCCATTGGGTGGAACTTTACTAAAGCACTTTGCGTTTTCTACACATACAGAGTGAAATAAACTGGTCTCTAATAAATAACACCTTGTACAAAGGTCAAACCTGGTGAAATGAAGATACTCTTGTACATTCCTGTAAATAACTTACTCCTCACTGTAGATCAGTGTATACAAAATGTTTGGTTTTTTAAAAAACAAAAGCACTGACAGCCTTCTGAAAATAAGCCTTCTATATCCCTCCTTTGTGGACGAATTGTATATCTCTGTAATAAAGATTCTTTTTAAAATTAAATTGCTTTTAAGTAGATTTCTTAATACATTTTTTACAATTAATTTAAGTCCTTCAATAAGATATTACAAAATTCAAGATTGGACAAGTTTCAGTAATAGGGACTGATTTTATTTTACTTACAAATTCCTAGTGTGTTTTAAAGACAATATTTAAATGTTTGCCATCTTGCCACCCATATAAAAGGTGGTTAAAAACATAGTAATAATGTTTCATGTGAATCTATTGGCCTCAAAGAAGCTGTGCTTCTACTACTACCCATTCCAAGTAAGATTATAGAAAACATGGTTGGTTAGCATTAGGTAGTAGCTATCACTTATGATGGGAAACACTACCCAACCCACTTCGTGATCATGTACTCTGGAAAATAGTCTTAGCCATTCTTGTGTTAGTCTAGCAGCTTCTAACATATACACATATACACAATTCTAGGGCACCAGGAAAAACATAACACGTGCCTGTAGATTTTCCAGGATATATAAAAAGCCTGTTAAATTGTATAGAAAGTGTACAGATTTTTAAAATTACATTACTTTACTCTTGAACTTGCTAAAATGTCCACACTTTTTGCTATTCATGTATTACAAAATTGCAGTCATGCCACAGAAAATGTGCTTTCAAGTTTAGTTTTATGATGTAGGAACAAAATTACTATAGATAACTACAGCTTTTCAGCAGTACTTAATCCAATGTGAATTATTCAAGATGCCTGTTATACATTCAGTCTTTCCAATCCCACTATCCCACAGATTAATAAAGTAAACTTTAATGATTAATATGTAGAGTAATACTCTACTCATATTAATGTGTAAACTCTACTAAGTAGTAAAGTGGTATGTGACAACACTCTTAGAAAGACATCAGGAAGAATATGGTATATAAACCATAGTTTGCAGGTGGGGGAAATAAAATGAGAGGAGTAGAAACCTGAATAAAATAAATATTTATTTATCAAATTTCCATAGCTACCTGTCTCAAAAAGCAACTCTTGGCAGGAGAAAAATATATAGGGCTATTACTGCATATAATCTCACAAGAAGATTCTGCAAGAAAAGAACGATGTCATGATTTACTTTCCCATCTTCTTTCCCTAATCATTATCCCCTCAGATTTTTTTTTTAAATATTCTATGATAGCCATTTTATGTCAGCTGGAATTTTGCTGTATGTCTATCTAAAAACTATTGCATACAAAAAAATATTTTTGTTTAGTTTTATGTACATGTGTTTCCAGTTGTATTTATCTAATACAAATACTTCCAGCCCTTCTGCAAAACTTTCCATTTTTTTTCTAGTTAAAACTCCAGAAGGCAGTTTTTAAAAATATTTATTTCAAATAGTACATGGGCAGCTCGTGGCACATAGCGCATTGATGAAAGGCACAATTAACATGACCCAGTTAGATTTTCAAATGTAGCAGCAAGATTAACAATATCAAAATCTAGCTCTAAAAAAGTTTTACAAGTAATGAAAATGCTTAACCATATCATCAAGAATGCCAAGAAATCTGGCTGTAGGATGACAATTCACATTTCACAAGCACAAGAACAGAAGCACAACTAGAAAGCTGACGAGTCAAAAAAGGAGTAGGGCAACTCTAAATGTTTTTAACCAGTAAATTGGTTTCTACTGACAATCAAAATAGCATCTTCAAAACACCATAATTCAAGTAATATACAAGCTGTTCCTTTCTCCAGGAGGAGGAAGTAGACTGAATTTGAGACCTAATAGGCAAAAAGAGACATGAAGTAACATTTGTACTTTCGCAGGAAGAATTTCAAAAGCTGCTTTAGGGGAAAAAAAAACATTCAAAAGCTCTTTTTAAAAACGGATGTTTTAAGCACCAGAAATATCCAGACACCTATTTATATTTAAAAATAACTATGCTTAATTATCAACTGCTAAGATTTAATATTTCAGTAAAATAAAGAATGCCAACAACTTGAACATTTAGTTCAGCTGCATTTATATTAAGAAAATATGGATGTCAGTAGAAAATATAAGAAAAGATAATTATATCAGGGGTTTGGGGTGATGCTTTAGGATGATTGATATATTTAGAAAGCTGAGAATATATGAGAACCCAAGCACAATGAAATCTGGGAAGAGCACTGGCCTACTCAAAATGGCTACTATGAGGGAGCGGGGGGGGGGGAACTATAGCGAAGTATTGTTTCACCAAAATGCTACCTTCCAGGCACTCTTCCAAACAAAATTCTGGGCAGTTACCAAACATTTTATTGGAAAACTTAGGAACTATTTTTTTAACTAAAAATAAGCCTACTGTCATATATTAGATTCTCATTTTAGAAATTTGGAATTTTTTAAAAAAATCTGGTTGAGCAGATGTTATAGGATGTATTCCGCAAATTATTATCTACTCCAAACTATCAGGAAATACTTTTTTGTTAAGTCACCAACTGAGAATTTTCTACTGAACCTATTTTCTAACAACCTAGTGACATGTAGGTAATTCTTGACTTACAACCGTTTAGCAACTGTTTGAAGTTACAATGGCAGTGAAAAAAGTGCCTTTTAATTGGTCCTCACACTTACAACCGTTGCAGCATCCACACATTCACCAATCAAAGTCTGGCTGCTTGGCAACTGGCATGTATTTAGGATGGTTGCAAGATCCTGGGGTCATGTGATCACCATTTGCAACCTTCCCACCCAGCTTCTGACAAGCAAAGTCAATGGAGGAAGCCAGATTCACTTTACAACTGCAGTGATTTGCTTAAAGTGGCAAAAAAAAGCTATAAAATTGGGCAGGGCCCACTTTACCACTGCCTTTTTTAGCCATGGAAATTATGGTCCCAATTGTGATTTTACACTGAGGACTATCTATAATATATTATAGTTACACTCATGTCCTGATGAAATAGCCACGTAGTTATTGGAAAGCAATAAGCTTTTTGCATATTCCATTCAGTGATATTATTCTAAGCACCAACGCAATGCATACTCTTTTTTGTTTGCATCTGACCTTTAAATCAGTATTATACTGATAATTGCTGATTGCCTGGACAAGTCTTTGCAATTTTCTTAGCAAGATTTCAGAACTGGATTGCTATTGCCTCCTTCCTGTGCTGAGAGAGGGGAGCATTAGAGCATTAATTGACCTAGAAGTTTATTGGTCCATTTAGATATCCTTATACAACTGGCAAATTGCTTTAGGGGATGGGCATTACTACCTGATTTATCCTCAGCCTGTTGGCTCTTTAAAGCTGGCAGTATAAAGAATTGACATTCATTTTTCTCATTTCCAGTTGGCAATACAGGAACACTTTGCTAGTGTATCTCCTTATCTGTGCAATTCTTTATTACATGGAATGGTTTATACCTAAGTCAGTTGTCTATTGAGAGGTTTAAAGTTAAGGATTAAAACATTACAACTGTAATACTGCAAAGTAGAATACTACTGAATACAGGAAATATTGCATCTGACTAAGTATGCCTAAAGTTGCATTGGAGAACATCACTTTTGATTTCTAGGTTACTGTTAAGTCAATTGGCTACTGATTTTGGAGAGAGAAACTTTCCTCAAAGACCATACATTCAATGGGAGGAAATGATCTATTGGTCTTTAGAAGAGAACAGCAAATTACATTTAGATCTAAGATTCAGACTAATTTTTAAATTAAATACAAAAGGTTAATAAACCTACACAAACTGCAATGGAATAAACTGCTGGGGATAGAAAATCTTACATTTATGAAGCAGAGACTCATATCATGGATCTGCTATATTAGCTTGAGCTAGGACAAGTGATTATATAGCTTTACAACTTATTCGTGGCAAACTTAAAATACGAAAATGAATATTTTCATACATATTATTTCATTTTCCATATAAAGAAAAGGTACATATTTTGAACAGTTTCTCACCAATTCTCTATGTTTTTCCTACCCAACCTTATTTTTGTGTAGGAAAATGGTATTCTTGATTATCATTATTAAGTTTATCATAAATACCCCATACCCAACCCACCCACCTCAACATGGCATGTCAATATTAAATACACATTCAATAAGTGTTCAGAATTACAGGCAGCTTACAGGTTATTTAAAAATAATTTTAACATTTAAGATTTATAGAACATTTAGGAGCCAGAGTTTTTCATTAATTTAATATATGTCTGTAAAATAGGCCATTATTACTATTCCTTCCATTTTGGAATCAGTACACGCCATCCCTTAATTTTATAGAAGTAGTAATATTCAAATTCATAACTTAGCTAGTATGTCATACAAGCACTTCTGTATGCATACATCCCCAACCAACAAATAATTTCAGCAAAACTATTTCATTATTATATAAGGTCCCATCTAATTAAAATCAAAGCAATCTCAAGTCTTGAATAATTTGAAACAATTCAAGTATTTTTTCATACTGGGATCTTTTTTTTTCTTTAGAAGCAGTTGGACTTCATAGACTCATATAGAAAACAGATATCCAATCCCTTCAATACATTACAAATCATTTCTATATTTGATAGAAGGCAAGAGAGACACTGATTTTTGGCAAAAACTTACATCCGAGACACAGAAATATCTAAGAATTAACTCACAATACAAGCTATCACTATTGAAGATTTACCTATGTGAGTCACAGGTAATTTTAAAAAAGCTTTGCTTTTCATAACTTGGCTGGAGTTAGATAAGATTTTTTTTTGTTATTATTATTACTATACTATTGCATGTTTTCTGTGCTACGGAGCACAAAGTGCTTGAATTGCCTCTCTTCAAGGCTACTGACCAAGCAAACATCTTTTTTCTTTGAAATACAAAAGACAACAAGCATTTAGATCACGGAAGTCTTGCTTCAGTCAATTGGAGTGCAATGCTTTTAAGCAGAAGCTGGATCTTAAGAAATAGAAATCATTTCCACATTTAAGAACTGACAAAGTTACAATTATAAAAGCTCAGCTGAGGTTACTGTGTATCTATTCCATTATTCCTAACAGAATGCTAAATTAAATCATTCAAAAGCACTGAGCAGAGTTCATTGAAAAGGGAATGCAAAACAAAACAAAAGTTGATTTCAGAAGGCATTGCTATCCAAAGGAGCAACTTGGCTGATTGCATTGAAGAAAACTTTACAAAGATTAAAAAAGAACAACCTGTTATCAAAGTACCCCTTTAATGGGGAATGATTCAAACTTTAAATTGCTGCAGACTTCATTCACTCTATTGAAATATAAAATTCCTTAATTCCAGGGCTATGAAAATCATAGGTAATGTTCTTCAAAGTCCTCACATGCCATGTTTGTATCTTTGAACACCATATGTGATTCTGTGAATCTCTCATGAAGATGTTCTTCTGTGGAAACACTTCTTTTTTTCAGTGGAATTTGTGCAGGAGAATCTGGTCTGGTACAAAAGTGCTTCATTGGCAAATTCAGTTTAACTCTTTTAAACATGGCAATATATTACAAAATATGATCATTAACCAAGTAAAATGTACAGTTAACTCAAGAAGTAAGATAATACATTAAAAAAAAACTTAATCAAGTTATTATTGGCATAAAAATATGTACTTTTCAAATTATTTAATAAATTAAATACCCTAAAATTTTTGAATATATATCCCTGATAATCTATAAAAGAGGGTTTTCAATAACAAAATAAATGGACTTTCGAAAAGTACCCTCTTCATAAAATGCATTTTAACACCTTTTTCTCATTTCCAAGGAATGTAACAATATGTACACCTTTTATGTTCTTAACCCATTGCCATTGGATAGACCAAGGAGAATTTATGTGCTCCCTAGCCAACCAAAGTCATGTTCAAATTATTAATCTAGATAAAGAATGCCAGGTGAATATCAGTTTCTACGTTGTAATAAATCCTTCTTGCTGAGTCTTTATTCTCAATTACAGTAGAATTCACGGGAGGTAGTGTTTCAGTGAGAAATTTGAGTTGAATTAAGGTGCATACTCAATATCTTTCTTCTGCAGTTTGGACGATTTTGCAAAAGTGTTCAAAATCTGTCTTCTTACTTCTTCAATATTGATCAGTTGGGGAGTTTTTTAATATGAATCTGTAATGCAGAATTGAAAAATGTCTGATAGATCCCAATAAACAGCCAAACACTTAGGCAAACATAGTTCATATGCTTTTCAGTGTAACATAATCAAGTTTCCACAACATTTAACAAATGCTTGGGAGCATAACAGCAATCACCTTTTTGGAATGTGCTTCTGCATGTGTTTTGATACAAGAATGTTAATCGGAGATGGGGTGAACTACTAGATCAAGGCTGTCAATCTGTGGCCTGTGGGCTGGGTGTGTCACACGCTGGCCACACCCACGCCCGGTTTAGCAAATAGCAAAAAAGTCCTGTTATGTCACATGATGACACCGTGATGACACCGTGATGACACGAGTTTGGCACCCCTGTGCTAGATCAAAATTTACAATATCTGTTAGCAGAAGACATGATGAAAGTGGTTGTTGGAAGCTATTGTTCAGTATATCTCTATGGCCATTACTACTGAAAGATAAAGGAGAAAGAGAAATTGCCTCTTTTTTATAGGTATAGTTCTTTGTTATATTACTATTAGCCATGATTTCTCAGTTAATCTAAGGCAGTTTTTCCCAACATGACATTTCAGATGTATAGAACTTATATAACAGACCCCCTGATTTGGCAAGTCTGATGTAAGTCATTAAGACCCCTGCAAACTGACACACTTGACATGCTTGGTTACTGTAGAAGGTTTTCTGAACTGTCTATTACAACAGACTAGCTCAAAGATCCCATGAGCAGAATATATTGATAGAAAGCTCTTTGGCATTTGGTAACAGAAGAGATAAATTTCCTTTCCCTGCTATTTTTAGAAATCAGATCTCAGGAACTGGGAACCTTCTGAATAGCATGGGTAGTATTGTAGCTAGGAAAATTGGAAAAAAGGGACAAAGGGCCTTTCAACAAATAGGACATATTTGGATCTTATTCAGTTCATACCATTGGAATATCTAGTCTTTCACAGGAAGTCAAGAATATACAAGTGCTGTAAAATGCAAAAAAGTCAAACTATTCTGAATTTTGCATCCAGTATTAGCATTAACATTCCTCTTCACTTCACAGCGATTACACTTTTATAATGGGGAAAGATTCAAAATATTCCTGAAAATTCAAGATTTCATGCTATTTAATTTAAGAAATTTAAGAATTTAAATGTTTGAAGGTAAATGCTCTAGTTATTAAGCACTCTTTGTTTCACTCTTACCTCATTTATAATTGCCCAGACGGATGAATTTTGTATGATGAACAGCCGGACAGCTGTAATTGGATTTAGATTGGGACTGACTATTCCTTCTGCTTTGCCATTTTCAAATTTGCCTTCAAAAGCAAAATAATCATTCTAAATAAGTATAGACTCAGCAAATACAAGTCACTTTACACGTAATCATTAATTTGGCACAAATAAATTACAAAACCTGGATTTTTATGGATAATATGAAAAAGTCAAAAAAATTATCTGCCAATGTAGCACGATTGGTTTTATTCTACTTATTTGTTCTATCAAATGAAAATAGTAGTATGATCACTTCATTTAGCTGAAATATGAACAATTTCAAAGAAGGCCTTCAGAGACATGAAGAGTGCAAATAGCTTGACTCAAATTCTTTAACGCTGCTGCTATGTATTTTCATAAAGTCAGATGGCTGCTTTAAGGAGACACTATATATGCACCCCTACATTTTGAATCACTACTCTACTGTAACAACATCTAAGTGATGCAGACTTCAGAATGCATAATTAGATGGTTGCATCTTTCCCTAGATTTCACAGTCCCCATGTGTCACAGTACACCTTCTTATTTTGTGGTAATGCCAATACCATATTGCTGCTCAGATACCTTAGATAACATTGGTTATGAAATTATGTCCCCTGAACTTGATTAGTATGCTGCTAAATCAATAGTAATGCAAAATGAGCACTAACTTGAGTTACTTAGATTTTGTATTCAAATGCCTGTAAAACAGAACTGTAGTATTATTACCTATTCTGAAATAACCATCTTCTAACCGTTTCTCTTTGGTTTCTTTGCTTAATACCAGCTCTTTATTCTGAAAAATGAGATACAAAATATTATCATCAAACTGATAAAGGATTTAATTAATTGTGTAACAAATATTAATATGCTAATGAATAACAAATTCACAATTCTTCCCCTCATTACCACTTCATAATACCCTGGAAGCCAACAAGATTGGAGTGGGCCCTCCCAGAAGAGGCCATGGTTGGTTGATATCAGGAAGTAAAACAATATTCTTAAAAGATAATGATATACTGCATCCTTTTATTTACATATATATATACAACGTATTTTAACATAATATGCATGATGTGATTTTGCCCTTTCTCTCACCCATCTCTGGAATTTTTAGTAATGGCATCTATATACTGATTAGCTTATATGCCTCTTTGAAAGTTGCTGTAGTTCAATACTAAAGATATTTACTAATAAATAAGCTCCAAGACAACACAGAATAGGAAAGCTGAAATAAAATCATAAGCACAATCTTAGTCACATGATTTTCCAACTTAGGGACTGAGTTCTGGTCCCAACTGTGGTTGCTAAATATTTGCATTGTTGTTACACTCATAGAAAGGAAGAAGAAATAGACTTTATTATCATACCCTAAGAGGTAATACTTCCACAGTTGTATTGACCAATATATCTCCTGGGTGTTCTGGATTGCCACTATGAAACAGGAATCTATATCATGGAAATCAATAAAGCAAAACAAATTGGAAAAACAATCAAAAATCACCTATACAATTCTATCTATTGAAAGAGTTTGCTTTCAGATAATATGCAAATAATTACTATCAAGGACGAAGCAGAAAACATAATGTTCAAAACTGATCTTGCAAACAATTCATTATGGATAGTTTCAAATAGGTGAACAAGATAACTAGCAGAATTTCATTTATAACAACACAAGCGCAGAAAACTTTTTGCTCTATCTCTTGAGAATCTAATTTAAGGCCATTTTGGCATTCATGAGATTTCATATGAAGAATGTTTTTCTAACTCAAACTCATTTTAGATGACATCAGAATAACAAAATTGTTATCTGACAATCTTCAGAATAGGAGCATACTTAGCAGAATTGTGCAAAATGTTACAACCATTTGATGTTTTAAATCTAAGTAGCTGTTTTAAATTGAAAATGGACAGGAAGTGTTGCACTGCTGTTAAAATCTTAGCATTTGAGTTCAAAATGACCCTGTTTTCTTTCACTCATGTACACAAATTTAGTAGCCAAATGCACTTCATGTTGTTTGAACTACAGGAGCTATATCAGAAATTTCTCAAGAGTACCAGATGTTCTATCATTGTATTTTATCTACAATAAGAAACAAAACTGAATATAGCATCTACATTAATAATATAATGGAAGATTATTTAAAAGACTGGAAATTAGTATATAATTCAGATATGGCATCTTGCAAAATATCAAATTTATGCTATTCTAATTTAGCAGCAAAATTAAGACTGAGCAAACACTGTTATATGATTACAATGTTCAGTTCAAACAAGATAGCCTTATCTAAGTTTGTTATTATTGAATAACAATAGTAAGCAAAAGATAGCAAGAATCGTGAGATAAGTTTCTCAGAATAAGATGATGGACAAAAATAACAAAAGGTATTGAATTGTAAGCTGCCCTGAGTAGTTGACAGAAATGGGCAGCTATAGAAATTAAACTAACAAGATGTCACAATTTGCTAATCCTTCATTCATATTAGTGTATTTAATATTTGTTTAAAGCAAACACTTTATTATTCCAACCAAGCTACTGTGGGAGAATAAAGCAGGAATTGAGATGGTCCTCCCATGAAACAGTATATGACATTTTTTCATACTGGCAGCAAAACACAAAATGTCAATCAAATAATTTCCAAACAACATAAAATTTATGACAGTTATGTTTCATATGATATTTGCAGAATTATAGATTCTTGTTCCTCATCAAACTGAACATGACATTTTTTAAGCATAACAATAAAGAAGTCATGTGAATGCATATATAATATTAACTCAGTGTGGGATTCTACATATTGGTTGAGAGAGATGAAAAATTCCCAGAATGAAGCAGATCTCTCTTCAGTGCAAATCCTTCCATTCAGGGAAGATGCCTCACTGATTTCAGGGATTCCTGCTTCTTCTTACCTTCCTACAGCCTAAAAATAGTCCTTGACTTACAACCACAACTGAACCCCAAGTGAGTTTTGCCCTATTTTGAACCCTTCTTCCACAGTTGTTAAGTGAATCACTGAAGTTGCTAACTTGGTAACACAATTGTGAAGTGAACCTGGTTTCCCCATTGACTTGGCTTGTCAGAAGGTACCAAAAAGTGACCACATGACTTAGGGACACTGCAACCATCATAAATAGGAGTCAGTTGCCAAGCGTCTAAATTTTGATCACATGTCTATGGGGATGTTACAACTGTTGTAAGCGTGAAAAACGGTCATAAGTCAATTTTTTTAGTGCCATTGTAACTTTGAATGGTCACTAAATGAACTGTTGTAAGTTGAAGACTACTTGTAATCTATTTTATTTAGCAGATTTTTCAACCCCTTTCTATCGGTTTCTTATTTTTTTAATTCTCTCCCACCGAAAAGAATCTCTGAAGGAAATTATTCATTCTGGGTACTTCAGGAAACTACAGGTAGTCCTTGAGTTACAACTATTCATTTAGTGACCATTCAAACTTACAATGGCATTGAAAAAAAGTGACTTATATAAGCAGTTTTCATACTTATGACAACTGCAGCTTCCCCATGGTCATGTGATCAAAATTTGAGCACTTGATAACTATTGATTGATTGAATTGAATTGAATGGGTTTATTTATAGGCCGCCCTTTTCCCTGAGGGGACTCAGGGCGGCTAA